AACTATTACCCACCTTCTCCGAGGACCGTAGCGCTCAGACGACATCCCTCAAGGACATTGCGCAAGATACAATTGGAGAGGCTTACATCGAGGAGGACCCGTCGGTAGCAGAATGGTTGCGCGAATGCGTCCCGACTTCACATGATGCCGCAGAATACGTACGCGAGTTGTTTCCGAGCGTACGGTGGCTGAGACGCTATAATCTACACTGGCTGGCTGGAGACGCTATCGCAGGTATGCAAAGTAATCTCCAGAAACTCTTATTACACACGGCTAATTCAAGAAAGGTATCACGGTCGGTCTTGTTGTGGTACCGCAAGCCATGGCTTATGCGTCGCTCGCGCGCCTGTCACCTGCTTTCGGCCTATACACGACCTTCACAGGCGCGTGTCTATACTGGATCTTCGGGACGTCTAGAGACATCGTCATAGGTGTAAGTAAATCCTCTAGGCGAGCTAAACGCAGCTAATCATAACCAGACGACAGCAGTCGGGTCACTACTGATCGGAAGCGCAGTCAGCAATGTCGAAGCCGAACACCCTGGTGTATATCAGCCCCAGGAAATAGCGCATGCGATAAGCTTCCTTGCTGGAAGCATTATTCTAGTCTTCGGTATCCTTCGTCTCGGCTTCATCATTGAGTTTATTCCATATATCCCCATCTCCGCCTTCGTCACATCCGCCAGTATCACTATCATCTCGACACAACTGCCGACCTTGATGGGGGTGAGAGGGATCAACACACGTGAGTCCCCGTACAAGGTGTACGTCAACTTCCTAAAGGGCTTACCCAGGGCAAGACTTGACGCGGCTATTGGTATCACATCCATTGTGCTTCTTTACCTAATCAAGAACTTGTGCGCTAAGATGGAGGTCCGCCAACCACGAAAGAAGAAGATGTGGTCCTTGATTTCATCACTGCGCCTCACGTTCACTATCCTGCTCTACACTCTCATCAGCTGGCTTGTACATCGAACGACCCCTGCAGGCCAAGAGAAGTTTCGAATTGTCGGCCACATCGAGAAGGGATTCAGTCACGCGGGCGTACCCTCGATGAATGGCAAACTCTTTGGTTTGGTAGCATCAGAGCTCCCGGCAATCATCATCATCCTCATCGTCGAACATATCGCCATCGCTAAGAATTTTGGGCGAAGGCATAATTACACCGTCATTGCTTCACAGGAGATGATTGCACAAGGTGCCGCCAACATACTAAGTCCTTTCGTCGGTGGCTACATATGCACAGGCTCTTTTGGTGCTTCTGCCGTTCTCTCCAAGGCTGCGGTACGTACCCCACTATCTGGCGTCTTCAGCGCAGTGGTCCTAGTGCTGGCGCTCTATGCGCTTACCGCTGTCTTCTACTACATACCAAATGCTGCGCTTGCTGGTCTGATCATACACTCCACCGTCGACTTGATCAAGGGACCCAAGGACTTACACAAGTACTACCAACTGTCACCGTTCGAGCTCTTCATTTGGGTTTGTGGCGTTGTCATTGCATTCTTCACCGACCTTGAGACTGCAATCTACATCACTGTGGGACTGTCTTTCGCAATGCTTCTCGTCCGAATGGCAAAGAGTCCGGGCAAGTTTCGAGGTACCGTGGAGGTGACGCGCATAGTTCGCGACGATCGCTTCTGCAATAAATCTATGTCGACAACAGGCACATCGCTGCCTCCACAGACATATGGAGAAAACACGTATGACACCAGTACTGCAAAAGATTCCCGACAGGTCTACATGCCTTACGACGCCACTGACAACCATAACCTGGACATCAATGTGGAACCGGCATATCCTGGCGTCTTCATCTACCGTTTCAGCGAGAACTTCAACTACATCAATCAGGCCTACCACGTTGACTATCTTACCTCTTACATCACCTCGCATACGCGCCGAACCCAAGCCGATGACGGTATCCGGGCTTGCGATCGCTTGTGGTGCGACGCGCCGCCTAGCGAGAAGCTTATTGAAGAGTCTTCCTCTCTTCCAGTTCTGAGGGCTATTGTTCTTGATTTCTCCACTGTCAACATTCTAGACATCACGAGCATTGACGGATTGAAAGGCTTGCGCGAGACGCTCGACCGGCATGCTGCGCCCGGGCTGGTTGAGTGGCACTTTGCTGGTGTGCACAACCGGTGGACACGCAAGGCGCTCACCTTTGCAGGATTTGGATTCCCTGCAACGATCAACGCCGACCATATGGGAGTATGGTGTCCAGCCTATACCGTCACGACCAGTCTTTTAGGTACAACGGGTAATGAGCGTAACGAAATGGAGGCTGCACGGCGGCATGTGCAGAATAGAGACGAAGAACAGGGCAAGGAGTTGGCGGAAACGCATGCTCTTGAGGTACAGTCGACTTCTGCGACCGAGAAGAGAAGATTTTATCCAATCCATGGAGTCGATAGGCCCTTCTTCCACCTCGATCTTCACGACGCCGTTGACGCTGCGGTTCGTGATGCGAAGAAGGCTGACCAGCTTGAGGCGCGCACGAGCTGTTCGTCAACTACATGGTCACAATCACATGAGCAAGGGGGTGAGGCGTAGAGATCCGTTTCGTTATCACGGTTTCATAATTCATTGATACTGTTGGTATGCATGGCGTTCAGCGTTCTGGCGTTTGTATTTGGCATTACATTAGCATTGAAGTCATCAGCTTTGGGAAGCGCCGGCTTGAGGCAGCGAACGACTCTAGGTACGATGGCACACCACAGTATGAGTCGAAGCCTATCAGGGCTAGAGAGACGGACGAGCAGAGAAAGGCTAGAAAGTCGTACAGCTCTTGGATGTGTCGTCGTGGTGAGGCTGAGACTCACTCGACGATTATGCGACGCCTCTGGTAAGAATCCTAATGTAGGAATCACACATAGAAAATGCATTGTTGTCATACCAATGTTATAGTGAAAGCGCGGCTTGACTGCTATTATTAAAAGTTGAGGCCAACCCATACCCTAAGGCGAAGGAACATATTACTTGTATATCTCTTTGCGAAATCTACAACCGCAGATTCTTACTAAGGACTAGGCTAGTTACAAGAACTCTAAGAAACACTGTGCAGCTCAAGCTAAGAAGCATAAAGAGCTATGGAGTTCAAAGGACTCTAGAGGTAGCTTTCAGGTCGACGCGACTAGCTTTAATAATATCAACAAGTTTAGCAGTGCTGGAAAAGATGCAGATGTTAACAACACATTCGGTGGTGGTACCACTAATGATGATAATGGCCAGGGCTCTGCTGTCGAAGCAACTCTCTCGTGGTCTTAACGACGACTCGGACGACGAGACTGGTCATCGCCAAGTCTGAATCGACATTGGCACTCTCAAGCCTTTCGAGCCTCTCCTTGGAATAACATCGACCACGTTCCTACAACAATCACATCTCATGCCGCGTCCATACCTAGGTAGTCCCACGTGTAGGCATTAACAAGTGTCAACTTATTCCCGAAACATCGGGTACTATCTTTGATACTTATCTATTTGTGTCCCAAATGCGAGGCTTAGACACTGCTTGTCAAGCACAAAACCCTGGCAGCGAGATGTCTCACTATCTACGTTCACACCTACCTCAAAGTATCCGCCTTATAAAGCCACTCAGTTACTGAATAGCTTACAGTCCCCCTATCTACACGAAGACAAAAACTTTCACTTAACTGCTTTCAAGACGTGCGTCAAGCATCATCTTGCCGATTGGAGGAGCTCACTGTCGAGAAGAGAAAGAAAGAGGAGGATCTCCCAGGTACCATTGCGCCAATTGAGGAGCTCAAGGCCCGGGTTGTCGCCAAGATGGGGCTGTGGGCCGTTAAGAACATGTACAGGATTTAGAAACGGCCTGTATTAGGCTGGGAAAAAAGATCTTAGACGACTGTATCGAGAACGTTTTGGTGGAGGGCTCGAGTAAGGCTCTGTGGTTGACCGGGATGATCTGAGGATCCGAGAATTGGTAGTCATGTGTAAGCTTATGTGATAGAATATCCAATCAAAAGATACGAACTTTACTCATCTTACTCCATCATCACCTTGAAGAGAGAGGCACTTTCCACGCTTGGCACTGACTTGGATACATTCAGTTTCGTACGAAAAAGTCCGATTTACATGAGTTATATCTTGGCTATGCTTTATCTTGAAGGCATACGCTGCGGTTAGCACTATGAAAGCAGAGGGCACGAAGTTTCTAATACCTTCAGGCAGAATTTGCGTAGTGGCGCGATGTGAGTGGTGAGGATCGAGAGTAGTTCCTTCCTCACGTTTGCTCTTTCCGCTTCGAGACATGACGCGACGCGACGCACGCGCCCCACACTTCGAGATAAATTGAATCTCTGAGATTTCTTCTCCTCTTCTTTATCTCTCTATAATGGTTGCATCACATTATAGTGCTCTAGCTTTTGCTATTGCTCGCGAAGATCATCGTCGCTCTTAACTGTAGCGCACTCGGTCCTGTGCTCTTAATTGTGAACCTGTCTAGCCAGGGAACGCGGCTCGCCGCAAACCCCGCCACCAGTGTCACCCTGTTCAGGGAGATGCGTGTGGAAGAAGCCTGCGACATGGAGCTCTCTTTTCTTCGGAAAAAAGTCTCTGACAGACCATTATGGTCCATGGCAATCATTTGCGCTACAGGCACCACTCTTGGTTGTAGCACGTTCCTCCAACGGCCTATTAACCTCTTGTCTGTCCTTGTGGCAGTAAGGGCTTTCTAGTGTGGTTGCACGTTTCCGTAGTGTCCTTGTGGCCCGGATTCGTTTTTTCTCTTACAACGGCCTATTGAGCTCTTATCTGTCCTTGTGGCAGTAAGGACTCTCTTGTGTGGTTGCACGATTCCGTTGTGTCCTTGTGATTCGGTTTCGTTTTTTCATTACTACTATTATGTCTTCCTACGACATTCATCTTTCGGTGAATCGGGCAGAAAGGCGAGAGCGACACCGCGTCTCAAATCGTGACAGGGCGGTATCGGAGCGCAATCGATCAGGAGATGGGAAGCTTGACTCACGAAACAGGCGAGAAAGGATGCGCCTGAACCACGGCACACCCGAAAGCAATGAAAAGAATCCAAAGCGTCACCTCTCCGGACCACCTGCTGAGCCACGAGCCTCCACTGAGACGGTTTCACTCACTCCCTCAAAGACCACCAATCTCAACGATGATATGGCAAACGTCAACAGAGCGACATCTTCATACTCTCCTTCTGTGGGAAGGACGACTCGCAGGAAGCTCGCCATGGTATGCACGCCGAGCAGTACATATTGCCTCAAATCAACTGACAAACAAACAGCAAACTGAGAGCATTCCCAGCAAACAGTTCGAAAACACACCGCCTTCCTTGCACGGTAGCGTGAATCCAGCCGTCCGACCCAGTCTCGTGGTCAAACTCAAGATCCGGAAGCCATCTGGGACCATGAACGTGGAAACGCGTAGGAAGCACAAATCACCGAGCAGCGATGCGATAACCAAGGATGACACTGCTATGAAGGAAGGTGCGGTTAGTCAGGGAACCAGCTACGTCAGGACCCATGAGCTGAGAAGGGAAACAAGAAGTACGACACTTGTGACCAGGCGACGGCAAGGCGATTTAGCAGCAGACGGAGCGCACAACGATACCCCGGAATCTCCGCAACCAAGGAGAAACTCTGCAGCGCGCCTGCGACGAGGAGCCATCGCCTACCCTGTCAAGCTCTCGGAAGCTCGTCTACGCACACCTACATCAGAATCCGGGGACGACATGTTCTCTGACCCGCCTGTCACTCTCAGTAAACCCTGACCGTTGTTGCCAGACACCAAGATACCAGTTTTGAAGCCTCCGACACCACTACAAGTAACCTCCGCTTCAACCTTTGCCCCTTATCCTCCAATGTCACCTCGTTCCGTGTCTCCTTTCACACGCGGAGCTCAAATCGCACTCGAAAACCTCTTGTCAGACCACCAGTCTGATCCTCTTGCCAGTTTGATCGATTTGGTGGAGGAACTGGACGATACAAGGCCGATCGTAAACGATTGGGAGCATGTTACTGTGATGAAAGGGGGTAGTTGGATCTATCAAGTGATGCGCGATGTTTGGGAGGAGGCTGCAAGTGAAACAGATGATGAGGATGACGAGATGAAGGATGAGGATATCGATATTGAAGATATCTTGGTGAAGGTTGCGAAATGGGTTGAGAGAGAGATGGAGAGGTTGCGTGGCAGTGAACAGGTATAGGCTTGGAGATTTATGATTAGTGCGGGAGAGGCGACGGAAATTGAAGCACGCATCATACTAAGTAGAAGGATATAGAGTTGATCAAGGTTGTCTTATACTGTGTATCAAGATTGTTCAGGCCAGCTGAGAACCAACCCTGTGTATTGTGTAGTTGCTTTCGAGGCTTTTTCGTCCATCCGCCTTCTACAGCGCTAATCTCAAACACCAAGGCGTAAACCTCGTGTCTGCCATCTTAGTTTGCTCTTCTTGTGAACTTCAAGTGTATTTTCTTGGCTATCCATGCTCGAGCTCGCGACATGTGCTATGGATGTGTTCTACGGTAATTCTATGTGTTCGTCTTGTCTTATTGTTCTCATGTCGGAGCCGACCGCTTTCCTGCCATGGAACGAGCCAGGCGCGGAGTATGCCTCGCACAAAATTGTAATCGGTGCATGGACCATCCGGGGCGTTAAGGATCTCTGGGGCCAGGATGTGAATCTGGGCCCGCGTGGACTCTTGCTTTACAATCGATAACAATGCCCAATCCGACAGCCACTGGACGAACCTGCAGGACGTGATCGACATGATCGACATGCCAAAAGACTTCCAAACGCGGAAGCCAAGCCGGAAGATGATGTTTCCAGCGGAATGAAGGACGTGTTGGGTCATCGCGGATCGAGATGTCCGCCACCCAACCGGGTTGTTGTCGGCTCCACATCGCCTCGCATTCGTATTCGTACACCATAGCAGTTGGAATAAGACGAGTCGTGTAAAATTTTCTGGGGTGTTTTTGTGAGCGCACATTGTCTGCACTCCCTCAGTATGTCTGCTGCAATTGAGGTGGGCGGAAGAGTTGATGACTCTGTTCGATCATCATCTCGATGTTCTTTGCCTCGTTCATCTCGAAGTCATGCATCAACTCCATCTGTTGCTGCTGGTTTAGTCCGGTGCCCCTAGTATCCTGACTCCAGGCCGGATTGAGATAATCTGCCATCTCATAACCCTGGTTTGCCGCATAGGCCTCGTTGTAAAATGGCGAAGCCATTTGCATGTTCGTCATGTTGTAACCATCTTGCGCCGGCATCGTGAATGTTGGGTTCCACTGAGGTAGCTCAGCAAACGTTGTAGGTAGAGGCGCGAATTGAGTCGTAGGTGCGTAGCTGTATGAGGGCATGCTGTTCTCCATGGACGTCTTTGGACTTAGTTCATTGTATGCCATTGGTGGAGCTTGCTGAGGTGACGTCTGCAATCCAGCTTGTTGCGCGCTCGGCGCACTTGAGAACGGATTGGGCGGATTTGAGAGGCCGTTGGTAAAGTTGAAGAGTTGTTGATTATGTTCGGGTAGGAAGCCGAAAGGTCCTGATACCTTTTCGGAAGGTGTCCGTACCGACGAGGTAGACGCCGTTGCCGGGCTTGTAGTTCGCGATCGGTTGATACCGTCCACAATGTTGCCAGTGCCGACAGATGCAGTGTCAGATGGAGAGCTGGCTGAGATGGGAACGTCGCCGTCCTTGTCGAAGATCTTCATGCAAGCAGATATCAAGTTGTAGTACAGACCAATAGCAGACTGTACGCCGGGCCATCTTTCGGAAGCCTGTCTGATTGACTCCATTGCCACTTTCAGGTGACCCTCTACTTCCTCGCGGCTATGACGTCTTCGCACTTCAGAGTATGACAGTGTCCAGAGCATGGTGTTGATGCACATGAAGATAGACTGCGTAAAAATCCATGTGACATCGACACTCTTGGTCTCAATCTGCTTCATGGTCATGTAGATATTATATTGGCAAGCATCGTAACAGCGGATGGCGGCGTCCAGGGATGGGCGAGGAACTTGTGGAGACGGACGGTACATGAATACGACCATGGTGTTGTATCGACCAATGAACCTATGCGACTTAGTTGATGTACCATGCATGACGGCGCCAATACTTACCAGACCTTGTTAAGTCCCGATCCGCCGTCCATCTCAGGACTTGTGTCTCGCCAGGCCTCGATCTTCGACAGCATCTGAGCGAACCAGGGGTGCTGGTCGTCTTTGGGTTCGGGTTTCTTTCTTTGATAGAGCATTTTGCGGATCTCTAGTTGCAGCAATCGCATCTTGTAGAAATGTATTCCAATCCACTTCTTGAGCGATGCTTGAGGTGCAGGCTTAATTCCCTCCCTAGTGATGTAGACATCGTCGACAAGCTCGCCAAAGTTCACATCGATGTGTTCTCGTCGTGTTGCAAAATGGGCAGGTCTTCCTAGACTATGCGACAAGCCGTAATCCATAGTCAGTATACTCCAGAACAACCGGCGACGCATGTCGATTTCGAGTGGGTCTGCAGAGCGTCCGCCGGGGCCCATGCTGATTGTCTTCTCCTCATGTAGGCCGAGGGCTTGACACAGCCGTACACCAAGACCGATGATGTAGTAAACGGCCGTCCTCGTTGGCGTTAGGAGTGAATAGCCTGCAACCAGGCCAAAACACTGCAGAGTCTTGAGATTCATTGGCTTGATGGCAGCCTCGAAGTATTTGAGGGCTGCGAGATAGTAGCTATCAGCGAGACCGGCGTACTGTGTATCCATCTTCTGCAGACTGATGGCGATGACCATGCGCAGACAGTAATTCTGGTACGGGTCGGTGGAGCCATTATAGACCTCATCGACGTCTTTGGTGAAAGTTGGCTCGTGGAAGATTGGATACATGGGGTGCACTAATCAAGTCAGTTCGTGTATGGGTCATACTGAGACAGCCGTACGCGCCTTTGCAGTAAAACAATTCTACCAGTAGATTGGTCAGATCTCTGTTGGGAAGCTCTTCAGCAGCGACGTCGCTGACCATGGGGTAGATTTTGGAGGTGGGTCGCTGGTCTTCCTGGGCGAAGGTGTCCTTGACATTCTTTGCTTCGGCATGTGGCACAATCTCGGATATGCTCTTGGACTCTGTGAACTGCTTGGCCAGCTGCATGACCAGGCGGGTGATGGTGATTCCACTTGAAGGTCCCAGGAATTTGGACTCGTCAGAATCCTGGACACGGACTGTAGCGGCCCCACGCATCACATCTTCAGGGTCCGGCTCGACGTCGTCGCGCTCGAGATCAGCCAGCTGCTTCTCGAGGTCGCGCACCTTCTGCTGCAGGTGCACAACATAATTCCGGGGGATCTTGCGTCCCTTGGTGGGGTCATAGTACTCGCAGTGGGAATTGGTGCGCTCGCATGGCCCGCATCGAGGGAGTCCGGGATCGCATCTTGTCTTGCGCTGGGCCAAGGTCAGTGGACAATTACGTAGCCAGCGAGACGGGAGAGGGTGCTTACCGTCCGGCAGCGACAGCAAGCTGTGAGGGTGTGGGCGATGCGACTCTGGCCCGTGGTGGTGGTTCCTTCCTCAGACGGGTGCGGGGCCCCTTCCGTCTTGGTGTGTGTCGCAGTCGCGACTTCCATCGCTCGTCTCTCACCAGGCGGGCGGACAAGGCGAGGACGAGGGAGCTGGCTTATGATGCTCGGCGGCCTGGGATGTGGGGGAGATCGCCGCGCACGTCCATGCCCGAGAGGTTTGTCGCGCCGGCGAGGAGTGGTCCTGTGCTCTCAGTTCGGAGAGAGATGTCGAGGCGGAGATGGGGGAGAGTCGAGCATACGACAGCGGCACCTAGTCTACGGGACGGCCAAGCAGTCACCTTCGGAGAGTCGACCGGCAGGAGTTTCTTTAACCAAAAGAACAAAGCGCGTCGTCGTCGTATGGGCCACAAAAAAACGCCTGCGCATTACCGAGCGTCCCCAATCAGGCGGCGCAAAAAGGAAGACGAAGCATGACACGCCCCGTCGTTGGTGCGGCGTAGGCTGATGTGGTGACAGGCCGAGAACGTGTCCAAACTCTGGGAGCCGAGAGACTGACGTGCAGCGTGGGCATCGTCTGCAACGGCGCCCTGATAGGCTGCCCCTTCTCCCAGCACCCGCTCTAGCACTTGCCTATCTTCATCTCGTCGCTCGTGTCAGCGTCACAGCTGTCCCTTTCTGCATTGTCTTCTTGCTGCTCGAACTCAGCGGGGCAACACCGCCGTCTGCTGCCTCCCAATTCGTCCATACAGCCGCGGCACTGCGACCGTCAAGGGTTCAGCGAGCCCGCTACGCCACCCGTCAACCCGTTCAACACCACGAGAGCGCCAAACCACCATATCCATCGCTTGCTGCACCGCCTTTTCGGCAACCTGGTCCGCGGAACGCATTTTCTGCATCGCCGCGCTATTCCCACAACGTCGACTCGACCGAGCCTGGTAAGTACCGTCCCGTCTCGTATCGGTCGTAAGGCGAGGCACCTCTTCACTCCACTGCCGCCCTCACCATGTAGTCTACATCCATATCCATGCATTGTGTCTAGTGCTCTTTTCGTTCAGTCCCTGCGCCTGTTCTTTCCATGTCATTCTCTATTTGACTACGTCTCGGATGGTTATCCACCCAGCGTCAGGTGATCGTGCGATGCATACTTACTTGTCCCATGATAGCAGGAAGATGGTGCTGGAAACGCCATTATTACGGGTGAGCAGGCCAGTCGCCGCTTGTTCGCGATGTCGAGCAGCAAAAGTCAAGTGCGACGGTAAACTGCCCGCATGCACAGCATGCGAAAAGTCCAATCGGGCCTCAGAGTGCTCGAGCACCAACGACCAGTTTGCGAGAGGCAAGGAAAGGAGCTATGTCGCGACTCTCGAGTCTAGAGTTGAGAAACTAGAGAAGAAGATACATGAAGCCCGTGCGAGGCGCAAGTCTTCTGGCGTTCTGATGTTGGACATGTCTGAGAACTCGACCCCACGTAGAGCATCTGTCGATACCGTAAAGGCAACGAGACCCATCAGCAAGAGGGCTGAGAGACGTAGGGAAGCCTCAGAAATCGACGACCTCGTTTCAGATTTTGGTCTCCTGTGAGTGCTACCCATTAATCCCGGTGTGTTGTACTAACTCTCCAAGCGCCGTGAATGCTACTGCAAGAGACTTCTATGGCTTCACAACAGAGATGTCTTACGCCCGCTTGATTCGATCGGCCAGCGCAAAAGAGCCACTCCCAACCGGCTTGATCAAAGCATTGCCTCCAAAATACGCAGCAACACCACTGATTCAACATTACTTAAATAACATCTTCACCTTATGGCCAGTCTTTGAGGAAGCTACTCTTTACTCTTCCGTAGAGGCCGTCTATTCACAGGGCGACAATGCAAAACCCTGGGATCGCTGGAGTGTGCGTATGGTTTTGGCTATCGCCTGTCTCTCCCAATCTGAATCGAGGGGTGATACACATTACTCCGATGCTGTTGGCCACATGAATGCGGCTCTTGAGAATGCCGAAGATGTACTACATCCTGGTTACGTCTCCAGTATTCAAGCTTTGATACTCTGGACCATCTACGCCACTATGGATCCCCATCATTTTGACAGTTGGACACTAGTCGGCGCAGCTTCCAGAGCAATGGTAGATCTCGGCATACATCAAGATCCGTCCAAGACTGTTGCAATGTCACGGCCGAAGCTAGAGATCAGGAGAAGAGTATATTGGTGTGTATACTCTTTGGATAGGTAAGTCCATGTTCCCTCTTCTCCTTCTTTCTTGCTAACCGCCCGGTAGATCGACATCGCTCGTTCAGACTCGCGCCTTCTCGTTCTCAGACGAGGCTGCGAATGTCGGCTTTCCATTCCACAACGCTTCCATCTCACCAAAGTTTGCTTCGCCTACATCTCAAGTCTTCCAACAGTCTTTCGATACAGCTGTCGATCTCTTCAGGATACGAGAGATTCAGTCAGAGTGGTATATGGACCTTTTCCAATCTGGACGGGAGCCTTGGCAAGAGCCATATCAATACATCTGGAAGCAGTATAGCAAGATGTCAGAGTGGTTCCAAGACATGCCTCAGAGTACTCTTCCTGCCGTCAAGTCATTCTTCGAGCTCGAACTTCTCTACAGCTACGTCTATATTCTCTCGCCAAGCCCGCGGATACCTCATATTCACGAGTATGCTCAGCGTTTGATTTTCGAACATTGCATTGCATACGCTACGAACCTACTCGCCATACTGGACAAACCTTCCAACACTGTGAAGCCTCCAGTCACCTTTTATGACGCTATGCGCGCTTACATGACAGGCCGGCAGTTTGTGGACGTTCTGTCACGCAACATGGAGATGATCCTTGACCCAAGACCACCGGTACCTCCAACGCCACTGGCTCCTCAAACAGAATCCGAAGATCCCCTGGCACCACCTGCGCAGGTCAGCGCACCACCATTCCCATCACCACTACTTCCTGAAGGACAGATGCTGCCATTAGACCCCACCACTCGTGCCATCAACGCTATCCATGACTTCACATCAGTACTATCCAAATTTGGCCTAAGGTTTGGCTTTACCCACTGGCGTGATCGGTTCCAAAGAGAGTCCGCTGCTCTATCTGCACAGCTTTACCAACGCCAACAAACATCACCGCACACTTCGCCTCCAGTACAACAAATTCCACCACCTGTTACCTACCCTCCACAATGGGTACCGATGCCATCGGTATCTCCACAGGCGCCACAACTCATGTACCCAGGAGGCCCAACAACACCACCAAGTCTGTTCCCGCAATCTAGTCCTTTCGCAAGTTCCATGTCATATAATGGCACTTCGTACGACGGATCCGGTCATAGTCCCCAACCACACGGTATGACATTCGACGCGAGCCCTGGCCAACAGACATGGACAACTCCGTCACCTCAGCCGCTACCTGAGTTGCCACAACCATCCGGCGGCCAGAAACGAAGAGCTATGGTATATGGCCCAGGTTTACCAGCGCCGCAGTCCGGACAAGGTCACAGTCCTGGTGCGTCGTCGATATCTGGGCAGGATAGCAATGGATGGCCACAACAGGAGCAACAACAACAAGATACAAACGGCTACTTCCAAGCGCCACCTTCTATGCCGCACCAGCATAGCAATTCATGGACACAGGATCCGTCGCAAACCAGCTGGGGGTAATAGAGGGACTTTCACAGGGTGACAAGGTAAAAGAACGGCATGCCAACGGCAAACAACATTTCTAGGAAGCGGAAGTCGTGCTCAAATAACGTTAGCCTGTATATTTGGTACGAAGACAGCTAGCATACCACATAGTATACTCGTGGTAAACGTATGAAACGATTCATGATGATATCACAGACTGACTGAATCCTCCATTGCGCCAGTGATCCAGTGCCAGCGTTTTCAGATTGCGAGCACATTCTGTAAAGGAAGTGGCATTCTTTGTCAGTGATTTCCACAATCTTCGAAAACGTCTCAATTACCCATTGCTAACATCCTCGCAATCCACAGAAACAGCCTCCGAGTACACAAGATGAAAGCCAAAAGAATTAGTATCACATAAAGAATTGCTTGTGAGAAAAGGATTAACGGTAACAAGCATTGCACCTAAGACAATGCCATGTCTAGCTTGCTCTAGGAATCGCTTGACGCGCCAAGGAGCGTAAGTCGAGCATATTGTCGCGCCGTGGCAAATGCGCATATGTTCATGGAAGTCACTTTTGTCAGCGAAAATATCCTGTGTACATTCTCGCAGCTTGTGGAACTCCGCGTGTTTACGCATGTCATCTATGTAGCCCCTACCCGGAGCTGTCAGGTCAGGGACCGGATATCCCGTCCCACACAGGCGACAGGAGATGAAAGGCGGATTGTCCACGGTCTTATTGCGTTCGAATAGCGCATGCCAGTCGTGGATATGACGACAAGAGTAGGTTCGACGTTCTTCGTGCTGTTCAAAGGCTACTTGTATGTTTGCGAATGTACTGATGCAACCTGAACAGGTATAGGGACCAGCACTGCTCTAATTTTAGCTCAGACCCAATGCTGGGTTTTTCTATGTACTTACCATGGAATTCTCGTTGGTATGAACGGTAGTCTCAATGGCCACCACGCAGCTTTGCATATGCCGTCGATGAGATGATCAAAGACATGTGCTTGTCTCTGCGACCAAGTATCCATGATCATACCACAGAAACCGCAGATAAGAGCTGATGGCAACAAAGAGGGGTTGTCTTTTTTCCACGCCGAGAGAACGTCTTTGGGTATCGAACTCTTGCCGCCCCCTTTATCAAGATGAACTCCTTTGATATGTTGCGAGAGTTGGTCTTCTCGCACAAAAGTCCGACACTCTTCCGGCTTTTCCGCACAGCTACTGAAGTGGCATTCGACAAGGTGGCTCAAAAGAATGTCGCGTTCGCCGCAAACAAAACATCTTGGTAACCGCATGGCTATCTTTACGTCTAGACAGCAGATCCAATAGTAGGGGCAATGATGGATGGCTTCCTCGTGTCGTGCCCACGCGGAACGATTCGGGAAGGATTTGTTGCAGCTAGACCAAGTGCAAAAGTACGAGCGGGTACTTCGTAACGTAGGAACGTTCGAATTCTGTCAAAAGTATTAGATTGTTATAGCGCTGATACCCCCAAATCGTGCTTACAGGAACGATTCACTCACCTGTTTTTCATGCAAAGAGCTTCCATTTGACTGCTTGTGAGTACTTGCTAGAGTTATCTTCCGTCGATGCGCCTCGGGCGGTAATGGTGGTTGTGTCCAACGCTTACGACCACGACGAGAACCCCTTGAATCGACAGAGATATGGCTGCATGAACTTCTGACGCTGTTACGAGAACCAACTGAGCTGTTTGAGCCCGCCGTACTGAAAGCACGCATTGGAGACTGCTGCCTAGACTTTGAGATTGTGTTGCGACGTTTGGATGATTGCGCGTCAACAAGTGGTGCAAGTAGGAAATGGTCGGCTTGTAAGGCTGATTCGATGACTAAAGTAGGAACTGAGTCCTGATCTGCGGTCTGGTTCACATATCTCTCGAGTGAGGCTACGCTGGGCGCAGGGGAGCATCGATCCAAGTCCTGAAGACTATCTCGACCAACGACAGGCTCCAGCGACAGACTACGTTCGGGTCGCTCATGAAGTTCTTGACTATCCACGTTTGTATCTGCGTCGGCATTGTCTACAAAAGTATTATCAGCACCGTTCAAGATCATGAACCATCAATATCGGATGACGAGGGTCAAGTATAGTTGACTTGGTAACAAGACCATGAGCTTTCTTACCTTCTGGCATAGTCTTGCGTGCCCTTGCATTCACGAACCACCTTTTGATGACTGATACAGGCAATCCAGTCTTTCCGGATAGTAGAACCAGCTCACCATCAGTCGGATAAGCGCTATTATCGAAGTGCGCGTCCAACACAACGCGGACTTCGTTCGAAATCTTGGTCCTCTTGGATTTAGGTTTGTCAGAAGTCGAACGCTTTGCGGGCCTTTGATGATAAGCCCTTGTCGGTGGTGATTCTTCGCTGAGACCCAGTACGGTTTTGCCTGTAGGGAACAGGCAGGAACCATTTGCTGACTCAGTTTTAGTCTCCTGTTCATCTGTAGCCACTATGTTCACTCTCTCCGAAGCTCCATCCTTCAGAAGATCCGATGGACAATCCAATCGGTTTAATGACGGCATGCGGGGGGTGGGTAGCCCAGCAAGACTTAAAGTATCCAAGTCGACATCAGCATTGCAACCAGCGCTGTCGTCAAATGAGGTAACGCCTGCGTTGAATTGTGTATGCGAGCTGTTGGGACCTGGCAAAACCTCATCAACCATGAAAGCTGATAGCCATGATTCGTCGAAATCTAGTATAAAGCCTTCGTCGTATTGTGGTAGAGGTTCCTCGGTGGTGTGAAGTGTGAACCAATCGTTCAAAGCCCCTACGCCAGTCGACGCCTCCCAGCCTTGAGACATGTAGCATACGAATTCGAGATTGGAGATACTCGGATGAACAATTAAGCAGACAAACGAAGACGGAGGTGTAGGTGTGAACAGGAGGTGTGTGAGGCATGGCGTAAACTTCTCGGTCACTGTGTTAATATATGGTGAGGCTGAGAAACAAGGTGAGCGGGTTGATTTTCGAGGTTAGAAGGGGCGGAGCAGGGGGGTTGTATCTGCCCAATCGGATGAAGCGAATGCATCTACGCCTGTTATGCAAGATACCAGGGCGAAGACGACGCGACTAGTATGCAGGAGCCCATGCATTTGCATAAGACGCAATGGTGCAGCGGGTTTATAGCAAAGACGTCGAGATAGACGGTGAAGACGCTGCGGCTATGATGCGAAGATCGACAGGGCATACAGACAGGGTACCACCAAGCAAACCCCCCACTCGACGCGGGGCATCCGCCGCTATCTCTGCGCAACACCTATCGACCAATCTCACACCAGACAAAATGCCTTACAACACTCTCGCGCACCCATCGCAACATTGTGCGTTACCCCCAAGATCCTTGCCACCCACTTGAGCCACCGTCACGATGTCGACACCCTTAGAACGCGCCCTGACAGCCATCGACGCCGCCCACGCGCTCGACCCAAACAAAGTAACCATCAACAATGAAGAAATGCCATACGAACTGCACTACGCGCAGAAATGCACTTCCTACCTCGAGAAACGCGCCCCTGATGCCTCAGAACCCCTTCGCATAGCAATCCGCGCCCAACACTTTCGCCGATGGGAGGTACCACGATCCAGCTACCCAATGACACGCCCCGGCTACCACGCCTGGCGCACCTACCTCAAGAAACGACAAGCCGAACTTGTTGAGCAAATATGCCTAGATTCTGGGTACAGTAAAGAAGACAGCGAGACAGTGGGCAGTTTGATACGGAAAGAGGATTTGAAGGCCAACGAGGAGACAATGGTGTTGGAGGACGTGGCTTGCCTAGTTTTCTTGGATGACCAGTTCGAGGCGTTTGAGAAGGAACATGATGAGGATAAGATTGTAAGGATATTGCAGAAGACGTGGGGGAAGATGACGGATCAAGGGCATGAGTTGGCGTTGAAGATTCCTATGGGAGAGAGGCCTATGGAGTTAGTGAAGAAGGCGCTGGCAGGGTAACACAGTTGTGAATTTGAATATTGAATAAAGTGGTGATTTTCATCTATTATTCGTGACGTGAATTTGATCGTTTTGGGTATCGTTCTGAGCCTGTGATATATCCTCCCCTCCTCTTATGGTTGACATGTTGAAGCCTAAGCCCCACCCTCCCTCTTAGCGTACTCCTCCTCCATCGCCTCCTCGTATCGTCGCTCGGCTTCCTTCTCCTGCTCGGTTTTCTCACTGTGGGTCGCGCTCGCTAGAGCTTGCGTAGCCGCATTCTGTACGTTGTGCGCCGTCTGCGCAGCAGCTGAAGACTGCGTCGCTGGGGTGGATTGTGAGGTGGTGGAAGGCATGGGGACAGGCATTCTGGCTGTCGCTGGTTGTTGGTGAATGTGTCGTTGAGTGGTATGTTACGACGTCTGGTTTGGGAGATTGAATGATACTGAGAGTTTGCAGGTAACGATGAGAAAGGCTTGAGGAGTGCGTGGTGGCTGGTATATAGACACATAGCGTTGCGTCATTGTGGCGGTGCAGCTGTGGCTGGAACCTTCTACGACATGTGATTCGCCACTGATTATCGAGGATCAATCATCGCACGTGAAGACAGTTTGCACATAAGGAATGCACGTTCATTTCGGCAGTCCGATACGCGTAAACATGGATGGGATTGGTTTCAATTCTTTTCAGTAAGAGCTGAAGTGATGGCGTGTGTAGACACGCAAGGCCGTTAGGGATCCTCAACCTTTCCTCACGGTCATCGTATTTAGAGCTTCTTTCCCTACGAGATGCTGCGACTAGAACCTACACCATATTTCATTCAGGCGATGTATGCCGTCAAGACTACTGCAGTATCCATACAAAGGTCTCTTCATCTTAAAAGAGTCGCGTAGTTCTGGACCGTCATGCCGGCCAGTAAGTATATCAGCCCCAGTAGAGGATTTGCCATTTGATGCAAACCTTTGGCCTTCTCAGTCGAGTGCGACAGATTTAAAGAAGGCCCACATCGAAAACGGCTCATCTGGACCAAGGTCATTTGGCCTGCTTTATCTACTCTTGTTATTGCTCTCATTGGGGGCTACGTCATCTACTTTGCATTTGGTATCGATGATTCCTGCTGCAATGAACTTACATGACTTGATGATGGCTTCCACCGTCCTTACGTCACATACTCTGACTTGAGTAGAGGTTGACATTGATTTGCTCGAAAAGAAAGGTGATGGAGGTCATGGCGAAGGCCGTCATGGTTCTGGTGATCATATTCCTGGCGGCGATGGTTTTAGCGGACATGGAGGCCATGATGGTGTACGGCCTGACGGAAGCGCCTCTGCCAGACAGAAAAGCACTGGTTCAAACTTCACCGTTTCAACGTTTTTTTTCGCATTCTGGTTTGGATGGCGCTTCGTACGGTTGCGGCTGCGCTTATGAAGTCGCAATTTGTGTCGATCGGGCTACCTCACGATCGGTGCATCCTTGCCTGTCGGCATTCGAGTTTTGAGTGGTCGGTCGGAGATGGTGAATGGATAAGGTGAAGATTAGCGGATAGTCGTTTCATTTTCTTCCTTCCTAAGCTTATTTAGGATGAGACGATGTCACGCAGCATACAAATACCAGGCGATAGACAGACCGATATGACTAGACAGTGATGGGCATACTGTTTGTTGTGTTAGTGAAAGCATAGTACAGTACCCAAGATAACACAATGATATTGACAAGGCTCAGACTTGCCTTTTCTGAAAACGAATCAACGACACCACGTGCTTGAAGGTTCGCCCATCCATCAATAGATAGGACAGCCCAGAGGATATACACCGGTGTCTCAATCGCTTGCTCGGTTTGTAATCATTGCCAAAGGAGAAAGATGAAGATGACTAACCTTATTGACTTAGAACATGTGTGCCCTTCGTTTTGCCTGTCTCCATTTTGGCAGTGCGAGCGCCGAATTGGATCGCACGCTTCTTCTCCGCAGCTACTCTTTTCATGCCCAATTGCCAGGCCAGCAATCGAAGAGCGCGCTTTCCGGGCTCGAGGAACTGCATAGGATCTTCACTATCAACCACTTGCGCCAGGCCGAAATCGCACTTGGCTGTCACCGGAAGACTCAGCGCTAATGCGATGAAGTCTTCATCGAGGAACGGAAATCGAACTTCCCTACTGCTGTCGCTGATAACTCGATCGTCACGACCCAGGTTCCTTTTTCCTAGTCGACTGAAGTCAAGCTCCAGCTCTTCGATCAGGCCGGGGTATCCGTGCCGAGCAAAAGCTACTGCATGTCGTTGATACCCGCCAAAAAGCTCGTCAGCCCCCAATCCGGATAGGAGGACGTGTGCGTTGGTGGTATATGGCTCGGCGTGAGCCTTGTCTGAGAGGTGCGCTAGACCATTCCCGCGTGAGGCGAAATACAGCGCGATCGAAATGGAAAGGTCCATTTCTGTATTGTGCGGATGCATTAACGCCATGACAGTGCTACGGTGGGCTTGCGTCTCGGTGTAGGGCACGTTGACTTCGACGAAGCGCCACTCTCGCCCTGGACAGACTTCTATGAGCTCGGCGTGTGACGATCGTCCAGTGATACGGTCCGGGCAAAGCTCGTACGGACTGGTTCCTGACTCGAGATTGGAATGGATTCGAGGGTTCTCAAAAGCGACATTGAGGAGGTCGATAGATTCGCTGAGCGGTAGGAGGTCGTGACACATGCGCGCGAGGATTGTGCAGTCAAGGCCACCAGAGAAGAGGATGCCGACCTGTGCGTCCTTTGGAGCTCCCAGCGTCGCATTGCTGGTCACTGCCTCTCGTATATGCTGAGTACGCAATTTGAGCGACCTTTCCAACGATAACCTCAACTGCTCGGTCGCGTCCGTGTTCTGTGTTGCAGGCTCGATGTCTACAGTTGGATTCATAGTGGGAAATGGCAGGGTCTGAGTCTGTTAGCAGGACTCGCGCACCAGATGACCTACCTACGAAAGATAGTCCAGAGTCCTCTTTCGGGTCTGAGCGGCGGTGCGGAATCTTTGTAACTGGCAACGACTTCGACGTCGAGTCTGCGGCATCGACATCTAGGACATAGATGCCATCGGCTTCCACTTCAGTCCAGGACTCACCAGAAGCGTTATCGCAAACGCTAGACAACACAAGTGTGCCGTCTGGAGTTGACTTTTGGAGCAGCGATCGTCGTCCCAGACAGTCGCGTCCATAGTAGATGCGATTGTTAGGTGCATCGAAGAAAACAAGGGCATACGGGCCCCGCACGCCTGAAAGCAGCTGAATGACGCTTTTAATGGATGTCTCGCCTGTACTGGCGCACGCATTCAAGAGCTTAGTGAAGATAAGCTGAGAGTCATTGCCATCAATGGCATGTCCAGCAATGCTCCATGCTTCGCCATTCCAACAAAGAACGGAGCCAGTGGCGACGTCTTTGAGAGGTTGCTTGACAACGTCGTTGCCGCGTAAAGCAAGGACCGTTGACAGGAAAGTCGCGTGAAGACGCGTTGAAGATGCCTCGGGGCTGGATTCGATGACAGTTTGATGCTGCCCTGTGCTATCAGGCCCTCTGTTCTGGAGCAGTTGCTGAGTATTCGTGTCAGGCGTCACATGTCCAGCTCGGCTGAGCGAGAAGAAGATGCCGCACATGGTCGGGCTGGTGTTCGCGGTGGAGAAATGGTTTTGGCAACGGCACGTTTGCCATTGCTTGACGCGCTAGTGGGGGCCGCTCGGAGACTCGGCTTCTAGATGCCGGGAGACCATGTGGACGATGCGCAGGTGCAGGCGCAACAGACGACCACGACTGAGACAGTTGACATATATATGCCCTGCTAGAGCTATTTCGAGCTCCATAGAAGACCCATGGACACTTGATCAACCACCTATCGCCTCTCCACAATCCCCAGTCGCAGTCGGTCTATGTCTCCCCCGAACTCAACTCCGCAACACGATGCAGCCCAAGACAGCAACGCCGAAGCGAAGCTAGAGAAGGTCGATGACCAACAAGATGTGGCCACGATGAACGAGAGCGCGCCTCTATCCGGACAGGCCACAGATCCAACGGATTTGGCAGACGACACGAATACCACGACCGGCGCGGGGCAGCCAGTCGAGATGAAGGCCCAAGACGAGGGGCACGTATCGAAGGAAGGGTCGTCGGAGATGGTAGAGAAAGTGCACGAGACCCCGGAGGAGTCGAAGGCGACCCCCGCTGGTGCAGAAGTCGACCAGAGTAAAGATATGGAGGCTGTGCAGACATCGTCTACGGCGCCAATCGAGGAGCTCACCACCAAGACAGAGACTGTAGCGCTGGACCGCGCATCAACACCACCACCTGAGCTCAGCGAGAAATCGGCGGGCAAAGCACCTATACGATCACCTTCGCCTCCCCCTCCACCGCCCAAAGACGACAGATACCTCACGACGAGTAACGTACCTAGCCGAACTACTTCCCCAATGTCGCAAGAACGATCAAGTGGAAGAAATTCCGAAGACGCTGCGGCTGACGACTATGCTGCGAACCATGACGGCACAGGAGACGCTGTGGATAACTCGCGGGAGGAGATACAGAGCATCATGGATCAGTTCGAGGGGGATGGTGGGCCTGGCGAGACTGAGATCATGTCTCCCAGACTGGAGATAGCGACCCCCATGTTAGAGTCGCCTTCAACTCCCTACCCACCCCGAAGGTCAAGTCTTGTGCCGCTCGACAAGCCCTTGCCTATTCCGGCCGACGATGCGGCTTCGATGACTTCACTTCAGTCTCCACCTCCTCGCACTTCCTCTCTACACCGCGTTGGCACTGGTACCTCCTTTGCAGAACCGACCTCGCCCAGCGCACATGCTTCCAAGTACAAGCCAGCGCAGCCAGCACCAGAGCCTGAGCCAGACCTACCCTTCGACTTCCACCGCTTTCTCGAACAGCTCCGTCACCGGACCGCAGACCCTGTCGCCAAATTTTTGCGCTCTTTCCTCTTGGAATTCGGGAAGAAGCAATGGATGGTACATGAGCAAGTCAAGATTATTGGAGACTTCCTCGAATTCATCAGCAAGAAGATGGCACAATGCGAGGTATGGCGGACGGTGTCCGACGCCGAGTTCGATAACGCAAGAGAAGGCATGGAGAAACTAGTCATGAATCGGTTGTACACTCAAACATTCTCGCCCGCAATCCCACCTCCAGAGCCTGCATCACCACGCAAAGGTCGACGGAGACAAGAGCCGCCAGGACCAGGCCGAAGAGGTCAGCATCAAGAAGACGTAGAGCGAGATGAGGTCTTGGCGCAGAAGGTGCGGATATACAAATGGGTCAGTGAAGAGCACTTGGATATCAAGCCTGTAGGTGAGAAGGGCAAGAAGTTTCTACATCTGGCCCAACAAGAGCTGTTGAAGATAAAGAGCTATCGAGCACCCAGAGACAAGATAATCTGTATCTTGAACTGTTGCAAGGTCATCTTTGGATTCTTGCGGACATCAAATTCCGATCAATCTGCCGATGCCTTCGTACCGCTTCTCATCTATACGGTACTGCAAGCGAACCCCGATCATCTTGTCTCGAACGTACAATACATTCTGCGGTTCCGTAACCAGGATAAGCTTGGTGGAGAAGCAGGTTACTACATATCATCCTTAATGGGCGCCATCCAATTCATCGAAGGTCTTGACAAGACGTCTTTGACCGTGACTGATGAGGAATTCGAGAAAAACGTTGAAGCGGCCGTCTCAGCCATCGCTGAACGCCATGCAGCCGAGGAAGCCGAATCCTCGTCTTCATCTGCGTTACTACACCCTACTGCGCCTAACCATAAACGTATGCCCTCACCTCACTATCATCACATAGCGGAAAAGACGACACCATTACGGCCGGAACTCACACAAAGAAACTCGATGGAGGCAGAGACTGCAGGGCCACGACGGTCGACCAGTCTAAAGGATCGCAAGTCTGAGGCGGAGCAGCCAGAAGAAGAGAATGCCGCTGTCGCAGGCCTATTGCGCACAATACAACGGCCACTTAGCACTATTGGTCGTATCTTCTCGGACAATGATACCCACCATCCATCTGGACCTGCGATAGCCCAGAAACCGCATTTACCGCCACGCGCGTCAACGGAGTTTCCCGGTCAGGCTCCTCAGTCTAACATGAACGAGAAGCAACGACCATCGCATGAAGACGACCGACAAAGGCAGAGGTTGACGGCAGAAGATGTCGCTGCGCGACAGGCGTCAGCTGAAGCAGAGGAAGCGAGGCGCATACAACGTCAGGAACACAAGGTCGTAGTCGAGACGCTGACAGGCATGTTTCCCCAGCTGGACCGGGACGTCATCGACGACGTGGTGCGGCAGAAGGAGGGTCGGTGAGTCTTGTTCGAACGCCTCTAAATGATACCATGAAGACTAACAAACATCTAGTGTTGGTCTTGCAGTTGACGCATGTTTAGCGCTAGCGAATCCCTGATACATATATTCATAGGTTCATGGTCGAGTATTGATAGACCTCTGACCTTCTGATATGAATGGATGTTTGTATCTCAAACCATGCTATTGGTTCAACTCAGGGATAAGATAGAAAGCAATTGTACCATTGCTTTAGCTAACGTCTTAGCGCAGTGATAACAGATATCACTTTCTGCTATTCGCTTACACTACCGCCAGCTTGCAGAGTTAGGGGTAACTATAATGTTCACGCACAGGTTATGATAATATCTCCAGGACTGTCTGAGCACGCTGTCGTTGCCGTTATATTTCGAGGCCATAGCAGATGGGTCGAGATGTACTATTCAGCAAAGACCATGCTCGAAGGCAGTGACTGCCTTCTGATCCTTAGGCTATGGTGTTCTGGTCAGAGCTACCCACCTTGCATGCTCGCTTCGCCACCAACAGTACCGTAAGCTGGATGTTGACATTGTCACTGTAGGTCACTCACAAAGCGAAGAGTCTTTTGAAAAAATTAAATTAAAAGTCGTATCTCGAATCTTGACAGTCGTCTAATCCAGGGTCCAAATAATAAAGCGTCCATGCTGCTTCAACTGAAGCAGTTTAAGCATCGTAGGTTCCGTTGCCTCCAGCGCCGGCACCAGCTCCAGCACCAGCACCAGCGTTTCCTCCAGCTCCAGCACCGGCACCAGCACCGGCACCAGCGTGACCGCCGACACCAGCTCCAGCACCTCCGCTGACAGAGCCTGAGCCTCCAACACCGGCACCAGCGTGGCCACCAACACCAGCGCCACCGCCAACTGAGCCACCGACACCAGCACCGCCGCCAACTGAGCCGCCAACACCAGCTCCAGTTCCAGCGTGGCCACCTACACCGGCACCGCCACCGACAGAGCCTCCAACACCGGCACCAGCACCACCACCGACAGAGCCTGAGCCTCCAACACCAGCACCAGCGTGGCCACCGACACCAGCGCCTCCACCAACGGAGCCACCAACACCAGCACCACCACCGACACCAGCACCAGCTCCAGCGTGGCCACCAACGCCAGCACCACCGCCGACAGAGCCGCCAACACCAGCACCAGCACCAGCGTTTCCGCCAACACCAGCACCGACGCCACCGTTGGCACCGCCACCGACTGAGCCACCGACACCGGCACCAGCATGGCCACCGACACCAGCTCCTACTCCTCCGTTGGCACCACCACCAACAGCACCACCGACACCAGCACCAGCGTTACCACCGACACCACCACCGACGCCACCGTTGGCACCGCCACCGACTGAGCCACCGACACCAGCACCACCACCGACACCGGCACCAGCTCCTCCGTGAGCACCACCGCCGACTGAGCCGCCGACGCCAGCACCACCACCGACACCGGCGCCAGCTCCTCCGTGAGCACCACCGCCGACTGAGCCGCCAACGCCAGCACCAGCGTTGCCAGATGCTCCACCTCCTACGCCGGCACCAACACCTCCGTGAGCACCGCCAGATGCTCCGCCGTTAGCGCCACCTCCGATTCCGCCCATGAGGCCACCGAGGCCACCTAGACCTCCCTTGCCAGAGCCACCGAGACCGGGAAGACCAGCACCTCCGCCGACACCGGGAAGGTTGAGACCTCCCTTGCCAGAGCCACCGAGTCCGGGAAGACCGGCACCTCCGCTGAGACCGGGAAGTCCTCCCTTGGCACCGCCTGAACCGCTGAGGCCGGGGATGTCGAGGCCGCCGGAGAGACCAGGGAGCTTGCCAGAGCCGGCACCCGTGAGGCCACCGAGCATGCCGCCAAGACCTCCCTTTCCTCCTGCAGAGCCACCGAGACCGGGGAGACCGGCACCTCCGCCGAGACCAGGAAGGTTGAGGCCTCCCTTGCCAGAGCTGGGGGTCTTGTCGCCAGAAGAGCCAGAAGAGCCAGAGCCAGAGCCGTAGCTGGGGCCTGAGCTAGCGCCACCAGATCCGTAGCTAGGACCAGAGACACCGGTAGAGAGAGGAGCACTTGGCTGAGTGTAAGATCCAGTGCCGTAGTTGGGGCGAGGAAGAGCGCTGGCGATGCTGGCCAAAGCGAGAACCTGAGCAGCGTAGAACTTCATGTTGACGATTATTTGTTGGTTCGAGATTGATTAAGTAAGTTGAAAGTTGGTATCGGATGGATACGATATGTGATCGATATGGATAGTAAAGAAGGTAAGTGCTCTGCACAAACGAAAGACTTGAGACTGAAAAGTCGAGTAGAGTAGTAGCGAAAGTAAGTGTTTTTGGTTGCTGAAAGCGAGAGTGTTGAAGTAGACGAGATCGAAGCTGATGCCTTTTACTTTTTGCGCTGGGAACTGGTTCTCTTATACTCAAGAACCTCGATTTGCATTCTACGTCTTCGTAGTTAGCAAGCATCGGTAGTCAGTGACTGGCCCCTGAGCACCATTGTGGCGAGGCTCATAGTAGCTTCGTTTCGAAACATGGCGACTCTATTGAAAGACGTGATGTGATGAAAGGGTTGTCTAGACTGTCTCGTTTCACGCTATCCTCTGCGGGATCGACGACAAGTGTACGGGAGATGCCTGGAATGCGCAGGGTAGGTTGAGGTTAAGCAGGTTAAGGTTACGGGAGATGGCCCGATGTGCGCAGGGGAGGAAACTTAGCCTTCTTTCTCCGCACCGTGCGGCTTTACAGCCTTGCTGCCTTGAAACTAAAGTGGAGTGAGCTTTGGTAGTTCGAGGGGAAAATAGTAGCGTTAGCGTGTCCTTTATTCGTGCCATATCTGAGTCGCGCGCAAGCAGGAGTTTGCCAGGTCGGCTATTTTGACTTCCATTTGAGTCGGATGGCGGAAACCGCCGTTCCGAGGTTGTTTAGCGGGAGCTGCTAAGCTTGTTTCAGCCACCACACTTGACGTTTATCGTTCTACCCTCTCTTACTTGACCGTAAATCGAGCATCATGACAACAGACAGGTATGATGTCCAAAACATTACACATAGTCGCCCATATTCCTTTCTCCATAGATGCAGCGACCACCGGGTAAAAGACTACTGGCCTGTGCGACATAGAGTTTGACGCGGCATCTGAGCTCCTGGCCGAGGTCTTTGGCCTAGGACTCCCCGACTATTCAAGCTTTAATTGCGCAAGAGCCTTTCCCTTACCAGCCCCACGGGTAGCATTTACATCGCTGTTTCTAGTATACCCCTTTGGGGTTCGGAGACCTTGCGGACCGTCAGGCATATCGGAATAGGTTTCTGCTATGGTGGTCGATCATGGAGATCTACTAGTATACCAAGGTACAGTGATGCTTGAGGGTTTTGCTAATGACACCACGAGGTTCTAGAATGATGTCGGTGGTACAAGACGGGTACTGATGACGGAGACTGTGACGAGATGTGCTCGACAGTCTATCGAATACGGCATGTTCCTTCTCCTGCCATCTTGCACTTGCGTCGCAGGATTCTCGTATACTCGGCACGCCTTGACTCGCAACTCCGCTGCCGCAACAAGGAATACCGTTCCCTGTGTTCAAGCGGTGCCAAGCGGCCCCACAGAGACACCGGCCCTTCGCTGTCGCAAATCGAGCTAACAATGCCAGCTCGCCTGACAGCTTGGAGCCGCGCTTGCCACTTTTCAGCACTCGTCGAGAAGAAGACAATTACTCATGATTTTTTGGCGACTGCGTTCGTTGTGCAAATGTTGACTCACAATACTGTTACCATTCACCGCCAGTGCTCGCTATGCACATTCAGAGATAAGACCATGACTATTGCAGCATCCAGCACAACTGGATATTAATCACAAAATCGATAGAAACGGTTTAACGGGGATATCTTGATAGACTAGGGTGAAAGTGGTACGTCCAGCCTTGCACACTAGCATCCTTCAGGATATGTCACACGAAGATCTCAACCGGATGCCGCACTAATCCGAATACACACCAATACTCTGAACATCGCTGTGGTCAGTGTCTCAGGATCGCAGGAATTTGACTATCGAAAATGTATAGACGTAATTTCCAGTGTGTGTTGCCAAAGTTCAAGATCATCTTAAGGGTATCGAAACATCCACTCTATCAACCCCATCGCAATCCGAAAAAGGAATAATCTTACCAAATTTTTTCTACACAATATTCTTTATTCCTTAAGGGGTTCAAGGGTTCAAGGGTTCAAGGGTCCAGGGGCCTAGAGCGCTGCATCGTGCCTAGTTTCGAGTTGTGGATCTGCTGTCCTGGCCTTCCTCTGCTAAATGCTGTCGACGACGGCCTTGTTCGCACAAAAAGGGGTGGTTGCAGCTGCTTAGGCACTTGATTTTGCAACGATGAGATTTTTGGATGGACGTGGCAGAGTCAGCTAGGCTGTGCATCAAGGGAATTGCGCTTTCAGTTCAGGAATGTCATCTTCTTCGCCCAAGATTGCGTCTGCTTCTTGCGCGTATTGCCCAAGAGACCGAGGTCGTAGAGAAGTCATATATTCTCCTCATAGATTAATGGCTCGAAGTTTTTGCATCTATCTAGGGGCTTGTGGTTGTAAGCATCGCTATTTTGAAATCAAGGAATTGCCAATCGTGAGGTTTTATTCAAGAAGCGCATCAACATAGACGGGGTTGGAAAGACAACCATGATCTGTCACCAAGGTTGTTCACGGCTAGATGATCTCTGGCAAGGACTCCTACAGATATCGGGGCATAGCAGAAGTATGACTATCATTTATTAAGCCGCACCGCCTTGTCAATACAAAAGAACTGTGAAAAGACGAGACATTCAGCTTTCTTAACACAAGATGACTTTATTTTCTGCGCATCATTGTTGTGAGTTAACGTGACTTGATTTATGGCTGTGATATCTCTAGTCCATGGAAAGGGACTATATATTGACAAATATTACAGCATACGATCCATCAAGTAGTACTTAAATGCTCGTGAACCTAGATTACCAATGGAGTCATTAAACAAGAATATAAGTTATCGCAAACAACATTTTGAAGGCTTCATAATGTTCAGAAGTATATTTGAGCGGAAAGGTTGTGTCCGTCATTTACTTAGAGTGTTCTTGTTCAACGTTACTGGCTTTTGATTTGCGGCGAATCATCATTCAGACCTCATGGTCTTGTATGCAATACATTTCCAGACTACTCCTATACTAGCGGGTCAAGCTTCATTGCAGCATGCCCAGTATGGCCTCCCATGCCCTCAACTGTATCTTTCCACTCTTCGCCTTCTCGTCCAACTGTCGTTCGTCATAGTTGCCAGCAACCCATTTCTTCACCTTGAGATCTCCCATCTTCTCCCATGTTACTTGCTCGCCGCTGAGATTTAGCAAGGTGATAAAAGCGTTCTTCTCACTCCAACGCCGAAATGCAACGATCTTCTGGTCTTCCATGTCAAGCATTTCAAAGTCACCATACACGAAAACATCTTTGTTTTCTTTGCGACACTGCAGACCACGCTTCCAGAATTCAAGCACAGACAACATGCCGGGCGAAGGCTCAGGGTTTTCTAACTGAGCTGCTGCGTTGACCTTGGGATAGTCGTCGTTGACACGCATCCAGGGCTTTCCGCTAGTAAAACCAGCTTGGGCAGACGAATCCCACTGCATCGGCGTCCTGGCACTGTCGCGAGCTTTTCGTTGCATGATCTCAGCTGCCAAGGCCTGCTTTTCAGCATCGCCAGGATACATGTCACGATATCTACAGGTGTTAGCGGAACGTCCAGATGGTGGGTAGGGGACTTACTTTTTGAAGAAGTTGATACTTTCGATATCTTTGTATTCTTCTGGCTTCCAGTCTTTAGGCACGTTGCGCATGCCAATCTCTTCACCTTGGTAGACATACAGCGTCCCTGCCAAAGTGGTTTGCATCAAGCATAACAACTTGGCGCCGTATTCGCGCCACTGATCACTGTCGTCAGTGTACCTGCTTACGCTTCGAGGCTGATCATGATTCTCGACGTAGAGCGAATTCCATCCATCGCGTTCGAGCATCAAACGCTGCAGTCTATTCACAATATTCTTGAGGTCGCGCGCATCCCAGGGATGCAGAGTACATTTGAAATCGCCTGGGATATTATCAATATCCACCAAGTCAAACGCAAAGATCATGTTCAGCTCTTCGTTTTCGGCTCCCACGACTTGAATGACTTCGTCTTCATCTCGAACAAATGGCATTTCTCCAACGGTGAGCGTGTCGTATTTCGAAAGTACTTCGCGTCGAAGCTCCTTCAGCCACTCATGAAGTCTAGGACCGTTTGCGTAGTACTTAGCACCCGGTTGGTACTTGTTGTCTTTGACCGAAATTTCCGCATCGGGGAATGTCTGCACCTTTGAGATCAAGTTGATGACATCCATACGGAAACCAGATGCGCCTCGGTCAAGCCAGAAGCGAAGGATGTTGTGAACAGCTGCACGAACATCAGGATTTTCCCAGTTAAGATCTGGTTGCTCGGGCGTGAAGAGCGATAAATAGTACTCCTGAGTGGTTTCATCCCACGTCCACGCTGAATTGGCCTCTCCTAGAATCTGCGCCCAGTTGTTCGGAGGTTGACGGTTGCCATCAGCATCGTATTTGGCGGGTTTCCAGATGTACCAATCACGTTTCGACGATGCCTTGGACGATCGCGAGTCCAGAAACCAAGCATGCTCCTCTGAGGTATGATTGACAACAAGGTCCATAACCAGTTTCATATCACGCTTCTTGATTTCTTTGATAAGGTTGTCAACATCAGCCAAGGTGCCATAACTGGGGTCGATGTCCTCGTAGTCTGCGATATCATATCCCATATCAGCTATAGAGAGGTCAGTACATATGTTGCATGGATCTATTGCTTCCGAGGCTTACCTTGTGGACTCTTATAGATTGGCGATACCCATATCACATCGACGCCGAGGTCCTTCAAGTAGTCCAATTTTTGCGTGATGCCAGGAACGTCGCCCCAACCGTCACCGTTACTGTCCAGGAATGAGGCGGGGTAGATCTGACGCTTTTGTTAATACTGAGAAAGCATGTAGAGTCGAGTCGATATACCTGATATACCACCGCCTCCTTCCACCACCGGTGCTTGTCGGTTCCGACATACAGATCTAATTTTTGCGTTACGGGCGACATCTCAAAACTACCTTCGTCACAGGATGCGTTGTGTTGTGAAATGCTGTTGTGATTAGCATTGAGACGTGCTGTTCAAATTGGTTCACGTCATAGCCGCGGGTTAACCAGTCGCGGCGGCTCCATGAGGTAGTGCATCTCAACGCGTGGGTACGTGGGGCCCCGGGAAACCTTGCAGTGACCACTGTTCCGACATCCGGCCACTCAGCAGCAGACTCAACCTTTTCCTGCCATCGGGTATTTTGACCCATCTCATGGTGTGCTTCGAGCAGCAACGTGCATCACACACGAGTTTTATTCGTTCGATATGGTGAACACTGTGAAGATCGCGCGGGCTGGCAAGGCTC